TGCCCAGACCTGCACACAGTGCTCGAGGTGCAGGCTCACCAAGGCTGAGTAGAAGGGCAAGATCACCTCCCTGGTTCTGCTGGTCACACTATTCCTGATGCAGGCCAGGATGGTGTTGGCCTTCTTGGCCACCTGGGCACACTGCTGGCTCATGTTCAACATGAGCTGGCTCAATCAGCACCCCCAGGTCCCTCTTTGCTGGGCAGTTCTCCAGCCACTCCTCCCCAAGCCTGTGGTGCTGCTGGGGGTTGTTGTGGCTGAAGTGCAGGACCCAACATTTAGCCTTTTTGAAACTCATGCAGTTGGCTTTGGCCCATGGATCAAGCCTGTCCAGATCCTTCTGCAGAGCCTTCCTACCCTCAAGCAGATCAACACTCCTACCCAATTTGGTGTTATCTGCAAACTTACTGAGGGTGCACTCAATCCCCTCATCCAAGTCATCAATAAAGATGTCAAACAGGAGCAGCCCCAGCACTGAGATCTGGGGAACACCACTCGTGACTGGTCACCAACTGGATTGTCACAACTCTTTGGACCCAGCCATCCAACCAGTTTTTTATCCAGCAAAGCATAAGGTAGACAACATCCCCATCCCTTCCCTTCTCCAATAAGCAGGTCACCCTGTCGTAGAAGGAGATGATGTTAGTCAGACGGGACCTGCCTGCCCTTCATGAATCCATGCTGACTGTGCCTGATCACCTGGTTGTTCTGCATGTACCACGTCATGGTGCTCAGGATGATCTGCTCCATCAGCTTCCCTGGTACTGAAGTCAGACTAACAGGCCTGTGATTTCCCAGATCATCCTTCTGTCGCTTCTTATATATGGGGGTTGTATTGGCAGATTTCCAATCTGCTGGTCAGCCAGGAGTGCTGTTAAAAGATGGAAAATGTCTTGTTGAGCACCCCTCAACCTCTTGGGTGCATCCAATCCAGCCCCATAGATTTATGCAGATCTGTATTGTAGAGCAGGTCACTGACCATCTCCTCCTGGATTGTGGGTGGGTCATTCTCCTCCTGGTCCCTGTCCCCTAGTTTAGAGAGTTGGAGTCCTGCAGGATAACTTTGTTCAAGACTGAGGCAAGTAAGTCATTAAGCACCTCAGCCTTTTCCTCATCCTACATCCCTTTGTTTCCTCCTGCTTTTAATAGGGGATGGAGGGTCTTCTTGCTGCTTATGGAATGCTGTCTTAGTTATATTAATCTTGTACAAGATACTTGAAAGGTGACTATCCAAATTACCATGAACTGCTTGTGCTTTCCAAGAAGTTAATTCCTTTAGTTGTTAGACAAACAGCAGAAAACATATTTGGCTTTGTTTGTAATTTCTGACTAGCTACAAGAAATTTCTACAACTCAGTGTAAAGTTCTCAAAAGATCCCTTCTTGAAAGCATTGAAAAGTTTATTTAGTGCATAAATTAGGCATATAGATGATGTTATTCAGATTGAGATGGGTTAATATTACAATTTTTAATTACAATAGTTCTAGATTTGAATTTAAAAAAATTCTAGTTTCTCAGTATTCTTCCATAGTACTACAGAGGTGCACAAATATTTTCTCTTCCTCGTGACTAATACAAGTGTGTATGTATATATTAAAAAAAATATAAACACTCTTTTCAATAATTTAAATATCATTTAGGGGTCTATTTTTGAGGATGGGATATTAAAGAATTCCCAGTTCCTTATGAATTTAGGGTTTCTTATTGATAGCCACGTTAGCTGCCAAGTCTCATGCATGCTTCTAGCCATGCAACTACTTGTGTATGGTCATGGGACCTTGTGGAGTTCCAAAGAAAAGTTGTAGCCAGAAGCAGATTGTCTCTGATTTTTTCTGTTCCCTTTTGTAGTTGCCCTTTGGAAAATCAAGTGCCAGGAGCACACTCTGTCGATGCACCTTAATTGAGGCAGTGTGGTATAGTTCTGAGCATGCACTATGATTTTTTTTTTAATTTCTAGTCCTGAGCTTGGATTTAAGGCCCTCATTCAGTGCATTTTTTGCTGACCAAAAGGTTGTACACAATAATTCCCTTATTAGAGGGAGGAAGGTCAGCTGCATGGAGCCCTTTCTTACTGAAAGAAGTCACCAGAAAGGTTGGCCACCTTTGATCTGACAGTATTGATGCCTTTAGGAACCTTCTGTAAGCAAAGTATCTACTACTTTACGTTTAAAATTGAATTCACAGACTAAAAAAAGTGAAAGACCTCTGTTTATCTTGAGTTCTCCAGTTCTAATTCACAGATTATTTCTAAATTATTCATTCTAAATGTAGATTTGTGTGTAATGCTATAATCATTACCTGAATTTAAGAGGAATTGTGGCAGGACCAAACTACCAAATGCACAATTAATAATTTTAAAGGCTTGATCTATAAAGCTGTAAATGCAAGGGTAAAAGCTTACCTATTTACCTACCTAATTACCTAGTATTTTGCAACATGCACTGTATGTCAATTACCTAGTATTTTGCAACATGCACTGTATTTAAAAGATTATCACCTTACTAGGTAGAATAAAGATTTCAGCCTTAATTGTGAAGTCGTGCTTAAAGGCCCTGAATATTCCTGTTTAGTGTAAAGGCCAAGGATATTACTTTGTACAAGTTATGTTTTCTGTATTTATTTAAAAGACAGTTTAATGATGGAAGGTCGTTTGATGACAAGTTGCAATTTTTGAGTGTGTCTCATTTGAAGATACCACTGAAAGCCAATGACTGTCCTCGTAATGAGTATTTTTCTAACATGTTAATGACAAGTGTGAAATACTAAGAGGCAGTTTTGTAAGGAAATATGAACAGTTTTGTAGAAGAACATTGTCCAGAGTTTTTCTTACACCATTTTTCTGTTCTAAGAATGAAACTATTCTACTGTCTGTTGTGATTAATGCTTGGTACTGTCCTCCTAGCTGGCTGGCTGAGATGAGAACTGCAGTAAATACACTTTGAACTGTCAGTACTTTTAGATAATTTCTCTACAGAAACACTGCTAGATATTCTGTCTGTGCATTAATACTGAAATTATAAGGAAAAAGGACTAGCTGTCTATAAAATAATGCTAAGTATTTCTGATTCGCAAGATACTCATGGGGGATATGACCTTTTCCAAAACTAAGGCTACTCTTGTATTAGGCAAGCTACCTCGATTTTCTATTGATCAATAGTACTTTAAAATGTAGAGCAAGTTATTTGCAAGTGTATTTTGTACATTACAAGACCTTGTTTAAGTGTGCTACTGGAATTGGGAGAGAGGATGCTAAGGACTTTGGTCAAACATCAGTTATTGTAAATGTTGTGTGAAGTTTGTGGGCGTTTAAAATACATTTATATGATATTGGGAGTGTTGATTTATGAGTGAAGCTAACACCTCCCTACTGTTTGGACTTCCCATATTACGTTTCATCACCATCTGGTGTTGAACTGAAACAGTAAAGAATTAGGTGATTTCTGGCTTTTTCTTGTTAAACTTTTTTCAGAGTTGACTTTCAGTTCTTTTACTGAAGTAGGCATACAGGAGTGAACAGAAACTGCTGGGTTTTACTGGCAGCTTGAAGGCAAACTGTAGCTGCCTGACAGTTGTGGGGCTCAATTCCTAGACCCAGTGCTGCAGTTGGCTGCTGTGACACATTAATATTATATAACTATTTCTCATCTCTGTAAAAGATTGCTTCATCTTCATTGTTTTATAACTATAACCTATTAAATATCAAGGCTAACTAACACCATGGGTACCTGATAGGCGTTTGGAGCAACCTGAAAGCTAGGAAATAGAAGAAATTGTCACATAAGTAGGTTGTTACAAAGTAACTGTATAACATTGTACTTGATAAGGATGCATAGCAGGCTTTTAGGTATGTTGGACTTCTCTGAGCACTTAATTTTTGTCAGTTATAGCTACCCTCCCTCCCCCAAAATGTAAAACTGCTCGGTGTGAAAAAACATTAGCTTTTTGTCTGAAGCTTAACTATTGTAACCATGAAGATTTTAAGTGACTGTACATGATATAGCACTGTAGAGACTGTTTCATGTGTCTTTGTATAACTTGAATAGTATGATTTATTAAATAATTTATCATTGGAACATGGATTGATTTGATTTGCGTATGTAAAGATTTATAAACTTGTGAAATGATTACTGCATCAGTTTGCCTCAGAAATGATCTGAATATGTGAATTATCATAACTATGTCTTGGTATTGAATTCTTACTACAAATAGTTGCATTTCCTTTATAAAGCTGTGTACAGATTATTAAGGCCAGAAGCAAAGCTAACTAATGCTTCAGCACTTTATTCTGTAGTAATAATATAGCTACAATCAAGCATGTGATATCAATAGTTTTCTAGTTTGAGGTGGGACGAGAAGGTGCCCTTTTTGAGATGGAGAAGAGGGCAGGATGCTAAATTACATTCCTTATGACATCACTAATGGAGTTGGACCTGTGGGATATCTGTGGGCAGCCCCTGAGCAGTAATCATCCACAGGCTGCTGTAAGCCCAGCCTGGGGAGCAGCTGAGGAAGAGGGCAGCCAGGTGCTGGCTGTTGCTAGCATCAAGGGTTCATTCAGTTTGTGGTGTCAGTGCTCCTCAGAACTCAGGAGAGGAACAGCCTCCAGCCAGGAGTAATTGTTCAAATGACAGCAGGCCCCTCTGCCGGCCCCTCTGCCCATGCACAGTAATGCAGGCAGACCTGTCCCTCTTACATGACAGGAGACAACTTGTAGTTCTCCTTCCATTTGAACATGTTTATCCCAGCACAGCCCTTCCCAAGAAACAGGAATGCTTGAGAGGACTGTTGCCCTGGCAATTCCTCCAACCCACAGTCTACTCAAGGGGGCACTGTAAAAGCCTCAGCAGGGAGAAGACTGTAAGCTCTCCTGGTAGGCAGCAAAACAGGCTGCTGATTGAACAGGCTTCACCTGATCAAGTCAGAGGAAAACAGGCTGTACCTAAGCAAGAATGTAAGTATGTTAACATGATCTTAACATGTGCATGTATGTATCTTTTCAGGGTGTTGATGATGCCTTCTATACATTAGTTCGAGAAATCAGAAAACACAAAGAGAAGATGAGCAAAGACGGTAAAAAGAAGAAAAAGAAGACAAAGACAAAGTGTATAATTATGTAAATACAATTTATCCTTATTCTTAAGAAGTACTTAAGTAATTTTTGTACATTACACTAAATTATTAGCATTTGTTTTAGTATTACTTTACTTTCTGCTTCATGATCCTGTTAGCTTTACCTGAATGCTTGTTTTAAATGACAGTGGAAACTTCATTCCTCTTAAAGTGCCAGTATTCTTTGACTGTTGGTTCTTGAACTAGCAATGCCTGTGAAAAAACAACAAAAAAAACAAAAACCCCACACATAAAAACCTGGGAACTGTCTTAGGATTCTTTGGTGCATGTACAGTTGCTAACTTCCTGTTTTTCATACTGATTCTGAACTTCTATTCTGTGTGCAAACTGAACAATGAAACGATGCTCTAACATCCCCTTTAATTTTTTGGTTTTTAAATCTGGTTGGGAAAAAGGAATAGTTAGCAAAAGAGACTTTCATTTCAGCCTTTTATTTTAGACTGCAATACAGAGACCAGAAGCCTTTATAGTCTTCCTGTAGATTTTGCTTCTAGGCATCTAGTCTTGTAGCATTTCAGATCAACTTTAATGAATGTAAAAGTAAAACTTCCACAAAAATTTTTTTCACTGCAATTTGTCACAGTCACTCCTTAAAGACTCTATTTTTTCTATTAAAAAAAAAAATAAATTAAAAAAAGACAACAATGCACATCTGGCAGTGGAAAAAGTAAAAGTTCTAATTAGGTTGATTTGCTATTGTTAATGCATTGCTTTAAGATCTTCACTAACCTTTTGTGTCTGAAGACCAAGGTGAAATCTTAGCTCTCCTGACCATCACTAGCAAATCTTCAAGTAACTTTGTTCAGTAGGTACAGGATTTCACCCTTAGAGTCTCCAGGAAATACTAGAAAGCCTTAACTGATAAGTTGATTCAAATTCTTAGGTAAATTGATACATGAATCCAGAATTTACCATAAGAATGAAATCAAGGAATCCTAAATTATAGAGTGACGTAAAACCGTTCTTTTTTCCCCCAAGAATGGGACTAGGTATTTCCAGATGCCCATTTTGTGCAAAATAGGGGAGGAATTTTAAATTCTAGTAACATCAAATGAGTTGATGGAATTTAGATGCTTCATGCAAAGAATTTGGAAATCCACTATGCCATAAAAATGGTGTGGAATTTGCACAAACTGTCAGCATGTGTGGAATGGTGTGGAATGGTGTGGAATTTGCACAAACTGTCAGCATAGAACATGGTTTCCAGAGTCGATGTTGTTTGTGTGATGTTTGTGAAGTATTAGTTTTGTTGCACAGATTAAATGCTTGGTGAGTGGCATTCCAGTGTCTGGACTGTCATGAAGCTAGATGAAGATTTTAATGTTGTCTTTCTCTGTGATTAAGTTCTCTTGTGATTTCACACTCCCCTCCTCTTTTTTATTCTTTCTTTTCTCCTGATTGGAATTAATGCAGAATTTTTGCAGCAGCTTTCTTTTTTTGGTACTGCAGTAGTCTAGTTACTCTGCACTAAAGTAAGAGCCAGTAATTCCAGTGTTGCCAGCTCCTGTTGTCTTACTGTAAATGTCACACTGATGGTTTCATTAGAGCCTGGGTTCCTGAAGGGACACTTCTTCATGGTCCCTAACTCAGCTGCAGAGTAAAATTTGAAAGTGTCACTCTGGTGTACCCAGTAAAATAAAAGACATTGGAGTAGGATAGTTCAGGATACTGGAAGGTTTGGAACAGGGAATAGCAGCATTGCCCTAACCTAAGGTACACCTTCAAAAACATTAGGTGGAAATTTTACATAGTAGTTTTCATATACCTGCCTAACTTGGACCATTTGTACAATGTCAAGGTGCAACTGCATGAGAAACATGTTCTTTTGCTTCTGCCAAAAAATGCCCTCAGTGACTCTGTTAGGTGAAGAGCTGCAAAGCTAGCAGGGGAACTGTCTGGATTGCTGTGTGTTCTTTGTCAATGTGGCTGAGAGAAACAATGCCTTTCCCTGCCTGCCTTCCTCAGTCCCCACCCTCCACTGAGATCCTCTCCTCCTTTTCATCTTTGATGTGAAATATACTTCAGATGATGAAATATTCTGAAAAACAGTAACAAGAGAACCTAACATGAAACTGTAAGGGCCAATAAGGAATACAAGGAGATTCTCAATGTTGAAAAACAATTTAGAGCTTCCAAGATTAAAACATGTTGGAGACAGTTGTGTATTATAGACACCCTTGATTATATGTGAAGAATGTAGCAAAGGTGGATAGTACCCTTTGAGAAAATGGAAGTAATCTTAAGATTTTTGGTAACTGAGTCATGCTGCATATAAAATTAGGGCTGGTATAAAAGTCTTAGGTTAATTTAACTAAAAACTGTTAGGAGAAATTTTAGCTGAAACGTCAATCATCAAATGTGGATTTATATAGCTCTAATATAAAGCTATATATAAAACAGGGTGGGGTTTTTTTCAGTAAATGTGATCTGTAGCTACCAATCCAACTAAATGAGTACAAGGTCTGTTTAAATTAGCCCTTATTTACTTTTTTTTACAAAGAATACACATCCTTGCCACTGTTGTGCAGTTTTGTCTTAATATTTGTTCAGAATTGGTGAAGCATGTTGGATTGCAGCTTGCACAAGTTGATCTCATCCTTATTCTGTCTTTCCCTGTGTGAGATGCTTTCAAAAAACATACCTGGATGCTGTCTGTTCTGATAGCAACTACTAAATGAACATGTGAATCACATACCACGTTAATACATTAAATTGTCATGTGTCAGGGAGTAACACCTTCTTACAGTAGCTTTATGTAATGCTGGTAAACAACTTCACTGTTTTTTTTCTCAAAACTGAAATTTAATGATTTTGACTGGTCTGGTTGCCCTAAAATTTTTGCTAACTTAGAAGAGTTTCAGTTTGTATTTTGTTACAATAACAGAATCTGTAATGGTAGATACTGACACAATCTTCTGCTCAGCTACACTATGAAGCAATACAATTATTACCTTCAAAGACCATCAAACTGTTAAGAAATCATTTTGTCTCAAGTTTACATAAAGCTACATAGATGGTAAATCTTTCCTAACATTTCTTTATTCCACTGTCTTGTGTTTTCATGTTGAAAATACTTCTGCTTTTTCCTCTTGAGTGCCAACTTCTTACTAGAATGACTTCTTAATGTAATATGTTTACCTGGAATGTATTTTAACTATTTTTGTATAGTGTAAACTGAAACATGCACATTTTGTACATTGTGCTTTATTTGATGTGGAACATATGCAGTGTGATCCAGTTTTTCCATCATTTGGTGGTGTGACCTAGGAATGCTGGTCATACCAGACATTAAGTTTAAAAAAAAAAAGACAAAAAAAAAAAAGACCACTGTTTGTTTTAAAATTTTTAATGTTTTTAGGAGTATGTGCTGTGAGGTGATCTGGAATTTGTCTCTTTTTTTCCCCCCCCCCCCTTTTTTTTTTTGTCAAACTGTACTGCTCCTATTTATTGTAATGTAATAAAAAATAGTTATTGTGAGTTTCTGTCCTGGTTTGCTTTTTCTCTCCCAAGAATTCGAGTGCCTCCTCTCTGTAACATGAATTGCATGAGTTCTTCTCAAGGTCTTGCCCTTCTCATGGCCTGTCACAAAGCTGTTGTCTCCTCCCACCGGGTTCCCTCCCTCTGCATGTCCCCACCCGGTGACAAAAGGCTTCATGGCAGCGATCCAGCTGCTCTGGGCTGTGCTGCTGTCACATCCTGCAGGCTGGGGTGAGCCGAGCCTCCCTTCTGCTGAGGTTGCTGTTCTCGTTTGCTCCTGCCTGCTGCTCGGTCTGCACCATCTTCAGACACGCCCCAGAGACCTAGTTTTCACTAGTCCAACAGCAGCTATTCAGAGTATTTTAAAGTTGTAGACTACTCTGTGTTCTTTGTTTTATTCCATCAAATGCCTTCCTTAAACTTAGAGGAAAAGATGAGACATGTTCTTTAGTACTGGCCGTGTCCTATGGGGGGGAAACCTGTGAAACTGCTGCTTTTCTCTATAAACTCAGGCTTTAGCCCTTTGTTAATGTCTGGAGAATATTCTAGAAGTTAAACTTTGCAGGTTAAATTTTGTATATAGAGGGATTCATTCAGAACAGGTTTAGCTGCAATGGGAGGAGTTAAGTTGATGTGGAAGGGCTGTTTTTCATGTCAGTCTGGTACTAAAAACTGAAGTACATTCATCACAAAGCAGTGTGCTGTCTTAATTTGCCATATTCTTTAAAATTCTCTTCTTGGAATTTATGCATGTGAAGAGCTGCTATTGCTAATGGTTCTACTGCAGTGATTCCTTGCCTATATTTCAAAAATGGTTTCTGTTCTGCCTCCAGTGGGGGTGGGGCAGAACCAGCCTTGCAGAGTATCGGTTCTGGCACAAGCTTGTGCTAGTGGAGCCAAGGTCTGCAGAGCTGGCCATGGAGAAAACATCCACAGTCAGACTTATCTTCCAGGGGAAAGGAGCAAGTTCTGTGTTCCTGCTAAAGCAGTTACACATCAGGAATCAGTAGTAGCAGGAATTGTCCTCAGGGTCTAAGTGTTTAAGCCACTATTTTTATGTTTAAATTCATCCTTTTCCTGACTCTCTAGTCTTCTTTCTAAGACAAGTGAGACAGCACCTCTACCAGCCTGCCACCATGACTCTTGCATGTTGAGCAGATGTACTTAAAATCTTTAAGAATTTACTTTTGAGAAGGTGTTCACTGGAAATGAATCATTAAATGCAAAGACTTTCAAAATCACATTAATCTCCTAAGTAACTAGCAGTGAAGCACCCCGAGTCAGGATTCAACCACAGGTAAGCAGAGCTATCTGTCAACATGGATAGCAAAGTGAAACAGAAGTGAATCATATTGCCCCTATTTCCTGCAAAACTGTCATACATGAAGCCTGAGTTCAAGGAGGTCAAAAGGAGCTGAGAGAAAAAACTATTACCTGTTATTATGTGTAAACTATTACCTGTGTTAATACAAAACCCAAACCGTTCAAGCCACTGCTTAAGGGGAAGCAAAGTCCTGACTCATACTTTAAATTGGTTTGAAGGATTTACATCTCACTTCTGGGGTCACAGCTCTTTTATTGTTTATCCTTACGGGTTTGTGCCGTTACATGCAGAGTCCTTAACAGCAGTCACCGCTTGTCGTCGCTGTAGTAGCGCTGTTTCATGGCTCTGTACTTCCTGAGGAAGTACAAAGCCTCCAGCTCTTTTATAACAAACTCTCCCCGTGCAATTAGTTCCTTAATTTTTTCAGGATCTTTCACATCTTTATTCTTTAGGAAAGCTGCTTTCAAACGGCTCCTAAAGTAGTCTGCTCCTTTGGGATACTCCCTTCCAAGGTACAGCAGCTTGAGGGAAAAAACAACATGTTTTTATAGACCAAATGTGCAGTAAAAGGGTTTTGTCTGGTCAAGGAAAGTGCTCATGGCATTGAAGACTTACATTTTTGTACAGATTCAACACTTCACCTCTTAAAGAATTGGCCATTCTCACATTTCAGTGAACTCTATTTTCGTCTGATATTTTTTTTACCTGAAGAACAATCAGTTGCACATTAGCCTTCCGTGAGAGTCAGTCAATCCCAGCCTCACCCTCCGGGGGAGCTGCGCGGTTTTCCTCACCAGATTCCTTTCTCTCACCCCGTCCCGCTTGCTCTAACGCTGCTCCTTTCTCCTTCTACTCCGCCTCCCCTGCTTTTGGCTTCTTTTAGTTTGTGACTCCGTCTAGTTCCTTTCTCCGCTCCCCTTCCCTCTGACCTCAGCTCCAACACGGATCCAGACACCTCAGGGCTGCTCTAACGCTCCTGCAGCTCCAGGCTCTTCACCGGCTGCTTCCTGCCCTGCTGTGGAAACGTTTCTATCTGTCCACAGACGTGCAGTGGTAAACAACGCAGATAAAAACACAACTGGGAATTCCTGCAACTTCGGCGCTCAACAGTTTTGCTCTTTTAAAACCGTGCGAGCGCGCTAGAGATCGAGGCACGCGCTGGCAAACCGTCACGGTGAAAAAATATAAACGTAAAGAAGTGAAACGACCGTTGTTTTTGTCACTAAAAGCAGCTGGGGCCCAGTGCAGCCCCTGCCGCCGGAGAGGCCCGCTCGCCCGCCCTCCCGGAGGCCCGGCGGGGCTGGGGCCGTCCCGGCGGAGCTGGGGCCATCCCCTGGGGCCGCTGCCTCCCC